TACAGAATACGGCTAGGTGACTTGTAAAGTACGCCAGAGTCTACTTGTACAGAATACGGCTAGGTGATTTGTAAAGTATGCCAGAGTCTACTTGTACAGAATACGGCTAGGTGACTTGTAAAGTATGCCAGAGTCTACTTGTACAGAATACGGCTAGGTGACTTGTAAAGTACGCCAGAGTCTACTTGTATATAATACGGCTAGGTGACTTGTAAAGTACGCCAGAGTCTACTTGTTCAGAATACGGCTAGGTGACTTGTAAAGTACGCCAGAGTCTACTTGTATATAATACGGCTAGGTGACTTGTAAAGTACGCCAGAGTCTACTTGTACAGAATACGGATATGAAGTTTCTAATCCAGTTTCGAGTGACAGCAGTGGTTCACAACGCACAAAGCTGACCGGACCATTTGTACGTAAATTAACTGCGTCACCTACCACTCGTATGGAATGAATGCTGTAAATACCTGTTGTCCAGGTAATCATACAGTTTCAACTTTCACACAAGGTTTCAAAATTTCCCCAAATCATTCGTCAAAATAATGTATACATATGTATATATATAGAAATTCAGTTCCAAAAAAAAAAAGAGGAAATTTAACAGCTACAGTCGGAAGAAAGTCTGAGGACGTTGGAATCTTCAGTATTCCGGATGACACGTTAGGACATGACATACATCAAATTAATCCACAGGCGACATTACGTCCACAATGCTCCATTTGGACGTCGGGAAAAGTCATCTAGTCTTACAGACTGTCATCACTGTAACACTCTTCTGTAAAACACAAACCCACATACGCAAGACAGAAATGATTGAGTATATGTTACGTGTTCAATGAGGTCTCAGACGTTTGGTCTTAAAGTTAAGGTTTTTTTTAATGTTTGATAAACAGTGATCGAATGCTGTTTCAACTGGAGCTTTATTTTATACACCAGCACATCCTTCGTATTGTTAGGAGAGAGAGTTGACAACATTGGGCTTATTTCGCGGTAAATTACACTAAGGTTATCTTCCACAATGGAAGACAACTATTCAACAACACCCACCGCTAACTTTTTGGCTACTCTAATCGAATGGTGGGATTTGACCGTGATTATTTTTTTTTGCATCAACGCGACTCTAACCATGGACCCTTAGATATAGCTCGGCGCGCTAACCACTAGTCCACGCCGCCCCATTTGATGTGAAGTGCAAAAAGTAAGAGCAGTTATTGTAAAAACATTTACGTGCATGAAGAGCTTCAAAATAAAAACTTATATATATGAGTGCAAAAAATGAAGTATTTATTATTCACATACAGAAATTTAGGCTTAACAATTAAGATACAGAAATTTAGGCTTAACAATTAAGATACAGCTCACATATTAAGGCATAACAAACTATAAAAATCTCCAATATACCATAATCAAACCTAATGTCCTCCAATGGCTCAATGAAAAGTCTTGAGGCTTACGACCCTAAAAATCGGGTTTCGATACCTGTGAGTATCACAGCACAGGTAGCCCATTCTGCATCTTTGTGCTTAATAGTAACAAAACCAAAAACAACCAACTCAAACTTGGTGGTAAATTTTGTGAACTTTGTATCATTTCATTTTTGCATTTACCCGTTATTTTGGGGGTTTCTTCCCGTTTTTTATTTGCCACATGAAGAGTAAATGATAATCTGTTCCTACGTCAAAAAGTTGATTTTTTATTTATCTGTAAGAGGCAAAATATATAGAAAACTTGACAAAAAGAAAAGGAGAACCTAGTGGAAGAGACCGTAGAGAACTGTTACTTCATGGAACATTGGATAACATGGTTGAAGGAATAACTGTCAGTGACGTCATCAGTAATCCTCGCAATTAGTAAGAATAACTACACATTTCCTGAAAATTACTTGCGGCTTTATCATAATGGTTGCCATGCTGAGTCGAAAGTATGTCGACTGTAAGCGTTAGTACAACTCATATTAGGCATTAACAACGCACGAAATACTTGTCGACAAAGGATGCACTAGACGAGTCGAAATTATGTCGACTGTAAGCGTTAGTACAACTCATATTAGGCATTAACAACGCACGAAATACTTGTCGACAAAGGATGCACTAGACGAGTCGAAAATATGTCGATTGTAAGCGTTAGTACAACTCATATTAGGCATTAACAACACACGAAATACTTGTCGACAAAGGATGCACTAGACGAGTCGAAATTATGTCGATTGTAAGCGTTAGTACAACTCATATTAGGCATTAACAACGCACGAAATATTTGTCGGCAAAGGATGCACTAGACGAGAGATTCCCAGACTTTTTCCCTCCCCCACCAGAACATCCTTACTGAGGATCCCCACCCGATGAAACTACACATATTGAGTATCTTGACAGATTGCTTATTTTGTGTATTTACTTTCCTGCGGCCTCCAGTTTTGGAATCCTTATACTGGACTATTGCATTAATTTTGCAAGTTGGCCATGTAATACTGTGAGCCTAATTCAATTACACACACACACACTAAAGTTTCGTAACATAGTGTATACAGTGGTAAACTGACTTCACTGGAAATATTGCCAAAGGTTATATACATATTACAGTTGAAAATATTGTCAAATATTGTATACATATTACAGTTGGAAATATTGCCAAAGATTATATACATATTACAGTTGGAAATATTGCCAAATATTGTATACATATTACAGTTGGAAATATTGCCAAAGATTATATACATATTACAGTTGGAAATATTGCCAAATATTGTATACATATTACAGTTGAAAATATTTCCAAAGATTGTATACATATTACAGTTGGAAATATTGCCAAAGATTGTATACATATTACAGTTGGAAATATTGCCAAAGATTGTATACATATTACAGTTGGAAAGATTTCCAAAGATTGTATACATATTACAGTTGGAAAGATTTCCAAAGATTGTATACATATTACAGTTGGAAATATTGCAAAAGATTGTATACATATTACAGTTGGAAATATTTCCAAAGATTGTATACATATTACAGTTGGAAATATTGCCAACGATTATATACATATTACAGTTGGAAATATTGCCAAAAATTCTATATATTACATTTGGAAATATTTCCAAAGATTGTATACATATTACAGTTGGAAATATTGCCAAAGATTATATACATATTACAGTTGGAAATATTGCCAAGGATTGTAAACATATTACAGTGATTTTTGTTCAGCTAAGTTTTAAATTCTTTTGCCTTTCTACGCCACGCAGTTATTTCGTAAAAATAATTGTTGACGAAGCGTGAAGAACAGTAGATTAACGTGAAAAAAAGATATAAAGAACACATGTAAATTGATCCAGATGTCCGCCTCTGGGACACGTGCGGGACTCGTGTGTGTGTCGCGTGCAGTGCAACTGTTACTACATCAATAGTTACTATAATCACGATGTTATTTACTGGTATAAGTAGAGAAATCCAAACAGTCACCCCCTCTAACAAGTCACGAGCTTGGTTAAAAGCACCAGCAGAGGATTTCTGAAGCTCCGTAACCACTAAGCCTATTTTGAAGCTGAACACATCAGACAATAAATGAATTTAATATTTACTGGATTAGTGCAAGTTTCAATGCTAAAACATTAATTGTAATTTTAACCTATTATACAACCCGTCTATATTTACGTGAATATGACGTGATTTAGACTACTCATGCCTTCATATAGTCGCGAGAAAAACCAACTTCATTCAGGTTAAAAGTTTTAAATTGTTCAAACTTGAGTGCTGATAACCAACTGTGTATCTTTGGGTTAAATAAGCAAACAAGGAAAGAAAACACTTTGAACTCAGATCCTATTATTTGGGCTTTCGGAACACTACTTACGTGATTAAATCACTTTTACGGTTCCATAACGTTTAGGGACAACTAAACAAAGAAAACAAGTACAGTTGAAAGACAGACCCTGGGAGGGGGGGAGAGAACAACAGGAACTAAATGTATTATGAAATACGTAGTTTGTTTTGATGAACAACGTTATCTAGGACTTTTGATCAAAGTTAGTTTCGATATTGTATTTTAAATGTTTTAATCACAAATTTATAAGTTATACGGAGAAGTAGAGCGATGTTAAACCTAAATATTGGACAACAAAAAAAGTATGATTTTCAGGGATTTTATGATAGCACTATGTGGAGCTAAGAGCAGATTAAACAATATTTGTAACCATTAAAGTGCACGGGAGAGGGTGGGGGGCTCAAGCTCCTTATTCCTCCTCTTATGCCCTAAAAGTGCCCTTTTTTTGTCAGTCATCAGTAATTGTTTACAACTACTAAAGGACACACCTGGTTCCACATTATGCTTGCTGCAAGCTATTAGAGATAATATTTCAGCTTTAAAATTAACGGAACACAGGGACTTATTGTGATATGTTTTTAAGTGTTAATACGCAAGAAATCACTGTTTAGTTTTAGATTTTAAAAGTGAATATTACTGATTAAACAGGAATAACAGAGGATCTGTTTGTTTCTCACTGAATTAACAGGAATAACAGAGGATCTGTTTGTTTCTCACTGATTGAACAGGAATAACAAAGAATCTGTTTGTTTCTCACTGATTGAACAGGAATAAAAAAGAATCTGTTTGTTTCTCACTGATTGAACAGGAATAACAAAGAATCTGTTTGTTTCTCACTGATTGAACAGGAATAAAAAAGAATCTGTTTGTTTCTCACTGATTGAACAGGAATAACAAAGAATCTGTTTGTTTCTCACAACCCCCATATTCTCCCCTGACACTCTCTATTTTTTTTTCGGTGAGCTCCTCCCCTTTTATTGTCCTCTGCGTGTTACTGTTATCTTTAAATAAGGTTACAAAATACAGGAAAAACCATAATTTCTTATTGTTTGTTAGCGTTACAGCGCTAGTAGGCTATCTTTTCCGCAATACACATTTGTCAAAAGGAAACAACAGTTTTACAGGGGTTTCATTTAATATTTTTTTTATCAAGTCTTTGTTTTGCATTCACGTGCCACTAACCTGGACTCTGGCCTCCGTTAAGTCTATTTTCATAGCAATCTCTTCTCGGGTGTAAACGTCCGGGTAATGCGTTTCGTGGAATGCACGCTCTAGCTCCTTCAACTGGCCGCTCGTGAAGGTGGTTCGGATCCGGCGCTGCTTCCGCTTCTCAGTCAGTACACCGTTGTTACCAGGATACATCTTGTAAGATAGTGTCCGTGGATAATCCACGTGTGCGTGTAACGACCCTTGAGAAACAACGAAGTCAGTAGATAATTGATATTATGTTAACATAGTAAATATACCGTATAAAAAACGTGTCAATATGGTCTATATAAATTAATACAAGGGTCTCAAAAGTCATCGCAGTCATGCAGCGCATAATATTTAGCCTTTAGTTTTCGGTTTTCAAAAGTACAAGATAAATTAGAACAATAATTAAAAACATACAATTATTTTCAGTAGTAAATTCAATGCTATATACTATGTTGTTATACGTACAAACTCGGAAACTTTAGTGAATTTTCAATGCCCCAGAGATGTTATCAACTATTGTTATTAAGATGAAAATTTACAACGCTCGAATCGACGTCACCCGCCAGTGTCTTAATGAGCTCATCTGTAGGGGCTCAAATATCGCTTATATAAAATCACGGTACAGGCATTTTACAATTTAAAAGCGAAAGTTTTTCCAACACTTTTATTTAATTCACCTGCTTTCGTCCACCAATCAGCTTTAGGCGTTTCTTTTCATAGACTAACTATCAATCAGAATTTAGAATTTTGCGCCCAAAGCTACACAAGCGTTATGTGCACCTAACCGTCTTTAATTTTGAACTGATAGGCTAGAGTGAAGTCAGTTAGCCAACAGCAACAGCCGCCAACTCTTGGGCAACTGCTGCTAGACAGTCACTTTTATAGCGCATCCACGTCAAAAGTGTGCAGCGAGTTTTTATGACAACGGGACGCAAACCACGAAGCCTTGGGTTCACAGTCCGGGCAGCTCCCTGTCAGTCAGTGAATTATGAATATTTGGAACATGAAACATCATATCAATATCAATCATATTGATATTGATATTAATATCATCACAACAATACTACGAACATTCGGGTACAACGAAAACTTATGAATTGAATATTAAAAAAACAACAACGTGGAAAAGTAAACTTTACATCTTAACATACACAACTAAATCACGTAATTAACCTATACCAATAACTGTGATCTTAATGTAGTCTTAACTTGTGATTGTAAACTGTGATGCAGAACTCGATCAGAAATATAATAGGAGGGGGGTGTCTGCTGTTTTTATAGGTAATTTTCACTTGTTGGGTACATTTCAGTTCTGAACTAAAACACACACAAGTGGTTGAGACAAATGTGTTATTATTGTTTTTTTTTACAGCAATTCCAATAACTCAGTTCAATAGTTAGCCGTTTTGTTTGGGTAAATCATCAACGTCTATTCTTTGACAAATCACGTTTGTTTCGTAAATAATGATTTAAATAATTTTTCAATCCAACTTACTTGATTTAATATAGAACTAAAGGAGTTATATTCAGTTGTTGCAAAAACTAACTGACTATCAAATGCTGATAGAAGTCAGAAGAGACGATATAAAACTGAACGCACTCTCTTTTGTCATTATTGTACGAAGGTTCGGTTAGAACTGTTTACACGCGTTTATGGATCATTAAAAAAGGGCAAAATATCTGCTAAAGAATAAGTAGCAAGAATATAAAACACAAAATCTGAAAATTACTAAAATCTATCTATGTACATCTGTTTATTTATCTATTTGGCCTTAATCTATTTATCGATTCGTCTACCTATATTGCCTGTTTCTCATCTTTATATCTGTTTTCTTGTTAATAGCTATAACCTCCCTAATGGCTGACCATATTTTCTCTGTAAGCTACAAATTATTGGATTTAGGCTTAACCTTGTTATCTCTTATTCCCTTCAGCTTTTCTTCCGAACCACTTCGAAAAATGATAAATATTATACGAACTGATGCGACTGGATGAGATTCTGGGATTGTACGTCATCACTGACTTCATGTACGACGCATTAAAACCCCCACTGTAGGTAAGCTAGAAGATAGCTAGAGATACCCCGGTTAACTAGTGTTATAATTCACTTTTAACTTTAATCTATATTCGATTATTTCATTTCTGTCTCAAGCTGCAGGCTTAATGTAGTTAGTTGTTCCGAGAGAGATTTAAGAAGAGGCGGTTCGCAGCCACTTACTTTGAAATCCCATGTTGGTGGGGAAGACGGTCTGAGTTACTGCCGCTGGCGGCATGTGCACGGACTCTGTACGGGGACGAGTGATCATGCCACGAGAAGACGTGTTCATTCCAGGCGCGTGAAAGGGCGAAGAATAGCGGTAAGACACTTGGCTGCACGAGGTGAGGTCAGTGTAAGAATATGGCCGCTGACACGACGATAGGCCCGGATCCGGACAGCCGGAATCGAAACTGTGCTGGTTGAGGTATGGATACTCCATTAGGTTACAATGAGAAGTCTACAAAACAAATGGTATATTTTTTACTTTCACAACCAGCTTTATAGTCGAGCTCAATCTGCCACCATGGGTTCGCCAGAAGTTGCAGTCTCTCTTCCTCTTACCTTCCGTACTCGCTAGGGGGAGGGACTTACGGTAGTTTCTGCTTCTATTCAAATTCTCTTGCTATGACTCCGTCAGTGTTGTTAGTGGACCATCGCTCTCACGCTGCCACACGACCCGTAATTGAATTATAATTCTCGGAGGGTTTGTGACAGGCTAGTAGCGGTACCTCTGCCGCCTCTCCTGGTTAGACTGAATACTCTGCTATTCCTCACTTCCACAGACGGCGTTTTGCCGTCAATTACCAAATTACCAGCAAAAGTCTACGATGCTCGTTTGATGCGACCTAGAAAGGGTGCTTCGATGGTGCTGTTCAGCGCAAGCCAGTGTTAATACGGGATGGTGATCGGGAACTTTACCGCTGCCCAGGGAGTTACGTTCCCAGGCTGTAAGTACGACAGCAGGAACTGTGACCTCGCGTCTGCCAAGTGATATACATGGGGGTCAGTCACGCGAGGAACGGTCATCTTGCACACTAAAACTGAAACTTGGGAACAAATTGAATCACACTGAGTTACTGTAAGGGTTAACAAACAACAATTCGGTGAAATCACGAAAAGTATTGCATGTTTTTTACATCCTCTGTCTGTGAGAAAAACAAAAGATGAAAAAAAGTAAGTTTCCGATTTTATTGGTCGTAATATTTTTATTCCCGCTTCAAATTATCAGTTGTTTATAAATGTATTTATCAATTATAATTACTATTATTTAACTGTCTTTTCATATTAATAATGTGCTTTGATTAATTTTACCCACCGTTTCATTAGAAATGAACCCGCATACTTGTAATAAATGAAAAAATCAAATTTTGTTAACGAGAAATTTGAATATTTCTTGGTAATTAGAAAGAAAATCTACTTGGAACTTATCTAAAAAAAAAAATCATTACATGCAAAAATTATGCAATTAAATTTAGTTAATTGGCTCCATTTCCGGAACGCTTGTTTAAAACGAAGAAAGGTCTACATACAAACGCGACTTATTCTTGAATTATTATCATAGTCTTATTACTTCCCTATCGCGGGCCCGGCATGGCCAGGTGGTTAAGGCACTCGACTCGCAATCTGAGGGTCGCGGGTTCGAATCCCTGTCACACCAAACATGCTCGCCCTTTCAGCCGTGGGGGCGTTATAATGTGACGGTCAATCCCACTATTCGTTGGTAGCCCAAGAGTTGGCGGTGGGTGGTGATGACTAGCTGCCTTCCCTCTAGTCTTATACTGCTAAATTAGGGAGGGCTAGCGCAGATAGCCCTCGTGTAGCTTTGCGCGAAATTCAAAAACAAACTTCCCTATCGCGCCCCCCCCCCCAGTGGCACGGCGGTATGTCTGCGGACTTACAACACTAGAATCCGGGTTTCGATACCCGTGGTGGGCAGAGCACAGATAGCCCATTGTGTAGCTTTGTGCTTAATTACAAACAAAACCAAAATTATATTATAGAACCAATTATAACCAAACAGAAAACTGTTTCATTTTTGTTCACGCCTCCAGTGGCTCAGCGGAAAGTCTGAAGACTCATAACGCATAAAACCTTCCAGTGTTCTTGATGTCCAAAGTGAGCGCTCAGCTAATCTCCGAGGTTTTTCTTGCACTTGCTGTAGGTGGCGCTGTAAAGGATCTATTAAAAGTACTTCTACGGTATTTACAATGGTAAATGTATTGTATTCGACATTGTAAGAAAATGCAAACGGAAATTCAATCCCGCTAGTCCTTTGATGTTCGCTACCAAACAATAAGGTATACTTTTTAGTGATATATTGTATGTCATTGTTAATTTAAAATGTTCTAACACTAAACTCGTGATACCTTTAATATTACACGTGTATCACTACGATGGACTTTTACAAGTGGATTTAAAGTGTGTTTGTTTTAAAACGATGGTTGGATTTTCTGTGGATTGCTTCTGCTTTTTTTTTACTGGTTCCGAAAGGATGTACCCGGCTCCATGATGCGGTGATCCAGGACGAAGCCCGAAACGTTTGACGTTTTTTACTGTGTGTACTGTAAAGTTATAGAACAATCCAATGCCAAGTTACATATTATTGCATTTTCACTTTTGAAAAATCCAAAAACGTACGGAAGTCCTTTCTTTCCGTAGATATTTATTCCCCTCCAAAAAAACACACAAAAAATAATTGAATAATAAATGGTGTTGCTCTAAACGTAAAAAAAAATAGCATGTGATGTCCACAGGAAACTCTGTCCACACAGGATAAATCTAGAGAAATCTCAGTCCACACAGGATAAATCTAGAGAAATCTCAGTCCACACAGGATAAATCTAGAGAAAACTCAGTCCACACAGGATAAATCTAGAGAAAACTCAGTCCACACAGGATAAATCTAGAGAAAACTCAGTCCACATAGGATAAATCTAGAGAAAACTCAGTTCCCTGTGAGAACTGAGATTTCTATGTATTTATCCTGTCTGGACTGAGTTTTCTTTAGATTTATTCTGTGAGGACTAAATTTTCTCTAGATTTATCCTGTATGGACTGAGATTTCTCTAGATTTATCCTGTGTGGACTGAATTTTTACTAGATTTATCCTGTGTGGACTGAGTTTCCTCTAGATTTATCCTGTGTGGTGTGGACTGGGTTTTCTCTAGATTTATCCTGTGTGGACTAAATTTTCTCTAGATTTATCCTGTATGGACTGAGATTTCTCTAGATTTATCCTGTATGGACTGAGTTTCCTCTAGATTTATCCTGTTATAAATCTAGAGAAATCTCAGTTCTCACAGAATAAATCTAGAGAAAACTCAGTTCTCACAGAATAAATCTAGAGAAAACTCAGTCCATACAGGATAAATCTGGAGAAAACTCAGTCCAGACAGGATAAATCTAGAGAAATCTCAGTTCAACAGGATAAATCCAGAGAAAATTTAGTCCACACAGGATAAATCTAGAGAAAACTCAGTCCACACAGGATAAATCTAGAGAAAACTCAGTCCACACAGAATAAATATAGAGAAGCCTCAGTCCAGACAGGATAAATACATAGAAATCTCAGTTCTCACAGGATAAATATAGAGAAATCTCAGTTCTCACAGAATAAACCTAGAGAAAACTCAGTTCTCACAGAATAAATCTAGAGAAAACTCAGTTCTCACAGGATAAATACAGAGAAATCTTCAGTCCACACAGGATAAATTTAGAGAAAATTCAGTCCATACAGGATAAATCTGGAGAAAACTCAGTCCAGACAGGATAAATCTAGAGAAATCTCAGTTCAACAGGATAAATCCAGAGAAAATTCAGTCCACACAGGATAAATTTAGAGAAAATTCAGTCCACACAGGATAAATCTAGAGAAAACTCAGTCCTCACAGAATAAATCTAGAGAAATCTCAGTTCTCACAGGATAAATCTAGAGAAATCTCAGTCCATACAGGATAAATCTGGAGAAAACTCAGTCCAGACAGGATAATTCTAGAGAAAACTCAGTCCACACAGTAAGTTTCTGTTTTGTTTTTTTTCAACGTAATAAACGACACGTTCTATCATAAATTCTAATATTGACTTTTTTTCTTTGCCTATCTCGCGGTGCCTCAGAAGTGAATTTAATGCTAGAATTCGGGTTTCGGTCCCCCCGGCGAACACAGCGCAAATAACTCATTGTGCAGGTTTGCGGTAAAACACAAAACACTATTTATCTGAAACTAACAATGCTGGAATAAAGTAATATTTATGATTTATTGGTGGAGGTTATCTTTCACTTTCAACAACAGGTATTTTCTGGCAAAACGTTTTAATCGACCATTATTTGATTTTTAGTTAAGAAATAAATCTCAACTTTAAGTATTTGACATTCAGGGCATCTCACATAAGTTGTTTAATTCTCTGTTGCACGACGTTAATCCGCACTAGCCATCCCTAATTTTGAACTGACAGAATAGATGGAAGGCAGCTAATCAACACACCCACCGATTCTAATCGAGTGGTTGAATTCGGCTGTTCTTTTTATAAGACACCCACGGGCTCAAAATACGAAGCAGGAATTTTCGGAAATGGGTTGCGAACCATGAACCTACAGATTAACACTCTCCTACGCTAACTATTGGGTTATTTAAGTTGCATTAGATAATATTTATGTCTTTGGATATCTTGCAAAAGAACCTTAGCTAAGGTATTTATTAGTATTAACTAATCTGTTTCGCTTTTTTTTTTCGAAATTTAAATTGACGTTGAAGCTTTAAAAATTGAAAATGTTACGTAATGAGTGACATTTCAATGCGCTATTTTATGTCTCATATCAGTTTAAGTCCAATCAAATTACTTATAACATCTCTCTTAACCGATTTATATATGCAGCTCCTTGTTAATGTAATGGACTTGTTTTAATTTCAATTTGCGTAAGCCAGAAAGCTGTCTCTTTATCTACTTCCTCTAACAATGCAAGTACTTAAGCTAAAGACTTTTAGCGACGGGGAACATTGGAGTTTCCTAGAAGTTTCATTTGGACTCAGAAAATCAAATTGTCTCGAAGTCCAAGCGTGTTATCGGACCGTAGCTATGGTATACGGAGCTTGGCGTCCATTAGCGGTCTTGTTAGACAGAGTGTTTCAACGGTGACAGCGTGTTCCTCCGTACTCGGGTCAAGAGAGTTACCAAAACTTAAAGCACTTCATTTGCTGTCTCTGCCCGGGAGAGTGACAGCACTGACTGATGTTAAAGAAGGCAATTAAATAGTCATTAACGAAAAGAATGAGAAACCAACGTTCATTTTCTTCATTTCATCCTATCACAGGAAAGAAAAATTGGAAAAACAAGAGCAAAGATCCGTGCCATAGATAAGTAATACAAAAGCCATTTTAAATTATCTTTGTATATATTTACGAAACAAATCCATATACATTGTCTACCAGGCGATTCTGTCTATCAGAAACCTGAATGTATTACTACCTACTCACTGTATTAATTTAACACGTGCTATTGTAGAAATGTAGTTCAAAAACGCCTCATTTG